CCTCATTACAAATAGCTCAATTTCGTTTCTTTTTATGGCTGAGTAATATTCCATTGTATATATGTGCCACATCTTCTTTATCCATTCATCTGTCGATGGACACTTAGGTTGCTTCCATGTCCTGGCTATTGTAAATAGAGCTGCAATGAACATTGTGGTACATGACTCTTTTTGAATTATGGTTTTCTCAGGGTATATGCCCAGTAGTGGGATTGCTGGGTCATATGGTAGTTCTATTTTTAGTTTTTTAAGGAACCTCCATACTGTTCTCCATAGTGGCTGTATCAATGTACATTCTCACCAACAGTGTATGAGGGTTCCCTCTCCAGCATTTATTGTTTGTAGATTTTTTGATGATGGCCATTCTGACTGGTGTGAGATGATATCTCATTGTAGTTTTGATTTGCATTTCTCTAATGATTAATGATGTTGAGCATCCTTTCATGTGTTTGTTGGTAATCTGTTTATTATGTTGAGGTAAATGGAGAGATATACCATGTTCTTGGATTGGAAGAATCAACATTGTGAAAATGACTATACTACCCAAAGCAATCTACAGATTCAATGCAATCCCTATCAAACTACCACTGGCATTTTTCACAGAACTAGAACAAAAAATTTCACATTTTGTATGGAAACGCAAAAGACCCTGAATAGCCAAAACAATCTTGAGAAAGAAAAATGGAGCTGGAGGAATCAGGATCCCTAACTTCAGACTTTACTACAAAGCTACAGTAATCAAGACAGTATGGTACTGGCATAAAACCAGAAATATAGATCAATGGAGCAGGATAGAAAGCCCAGAGATAAACCCACACACATATGGTCACCTTATCCTTGATAAAGGAGGCAAGAATATACAGTGGAGAAAAGACAGCCTCTTCAATAAGTGGTGCTGGGAAAACTGGACAGCTACATGTAAAAGAATGAAATTAGAACACTCCCTAACACCATACACAAAAATAAACTCAAAATGGATTAAAGACCTAAATGTAAGGCCAGACACTATCAGACTCTTAGAGGAAAACATAGGCAGAACACTCTATGACATAAATCACAGCAAGATCCTTTTTGACCCACCTCCTAGAGAAATGGAAATAAAAACACAAATAAACAAATGGGACCTAATGAAACTTCAAAGCTTTTGCATAGCAAAGGAAACCATAAACAAGATGAAAAGACAACCCTCAGAATGGGAGAAAATATTTGCAAATGAAGCAACTGACAAAGGATTAATTTCCAAAATTTACAAGCAGCTCATGCAGCTCAATATCAAAAAAACAAACAACCCAATCCAAAAATAGGCAGAAGACGTAAATAGACATTTTGCCACCCCATTCTTGATTTGAGAAATGCTGCTGACACTTTGTCAACAGAGTTGCTATGGAAGCCTGGCTCATCTGTAAGCTTCATGAAAGCAGAAGTCTTCCTGTCTAAATACCCCTACATCTTGAGGGCCAAGTATTGTGCATGGCACACAGTAGGTGACAAGTAAACATTTTGAATTGAATTAAAATTTCCTCTGTTCAATGTGCTCTATGAAAGGCTTGTTGCCTACTTTATATGCTGGGCATTCACTCATTTATTTATTCCCTGGGCTAGATCTCTGCTTTTTAATTTGTGTGTTCTCTGCTTTAGCAGCTGCTTTTGGGATGTCTACCATCCCAAATCTCTCCAACAATAGGGAGAGATTTTCAGCTTCTTTGCTGGGAAGAGTAACTTTATTATGGGACTTTGAGGAGGTTTTTCCCTTTCAAGGTCTCTTGTGATTACCTTACCTGGATAATCTCTCCATCTCTGGATCTGTAATTTAATCACATCTGCAAAGTCCATTTGCCATGTAAGTAACATATTTCATAGGCTTTGGCAATTAGGACTTTTACATTTTTGGGGAGCCATTATTCTGCTTACCACAAAGTCTGCCCACTGGCCCCCAATGACTCATGTCTGCCCCACATGCAAAATACATTCACCCCATTCCAATATCTCCAAAGGTCTTAACCAATTATAACATCAGCTCAGAGTCTGAAATCCCATCCACTCATCAGTTGAAAAATTCCAAATCTCACTATCTAAATAATCTAAATCAGGTATGAGTGGGACTCTGAGTATTTGCCATTTTGGAGCAAAATTGCTCTTTATCTGTGGATCTGTGAAACTAGAAAACAAGTAATCTGCTTACAAAATATAATAGTGGGACAGGTATAGGATGCCAGTTATAGAAGTTCCTGTTCAAAAGGGAAAATTGGAAAGAAGAAAGGGGTCACCAGGCTCAAGAAAATGTGAAATCCAGCAGGGCAAACTCCATTGGGTTTCAGGGCCTGAGGATCATTCTCTATGGTCCTTGGCTCTGCCTTCTGGGCTTGTGACTCATTCCTCTGAATCATTCTTTTTCACGACCAGTAGCATAGGTTTGTAGTTGAATAGTTTTATCAACCTGTTTCTTGCTTATAGAATTTTGGGAGTCAGTCAGCCTTCTTTCATTTCATGTTCTTTCCATCCCCTTCAGTCCAAGTTGGCAGTGTTTCTGCTGGTATAACATTCTCAAGAACCCGGAGGGTCTCCTGTCCATTAGACAAAAGGCTCATTTACAGATCTTTCTGAGATAATCTAATCTCTATTTCTGACTTCTGCTGGGATGGCTGAGGGGATCCATGAATTACAACCATGATCTCTTCAAAGAACCCTCTGTGTGATTGAATATTCTGACCCTTTGGTCCTTCAGAGTCACTAGCAAAAGGTGGTTCAACCACAGCCTTGGCTTTTTTCCGGAGTAGACTTTTCCTGACAGTGAATCTCCTAATTTTATTGTCTTTTCCAATCTGGATAGACTG